ATATATATATATATATATATATATATATATATATATATATTCACCGGCTTACGAGCAGGCTTAGTACTAACGCAACAAGTTTTTTTGAGCACACAAGTCTGGCGAAATCGAAAGCAGGCTTTGCGCACAGTGTGACAGGCGAGTATGAAAATACAAGGGGACCAACAGAAAGAAGTATTTATGGATCGACTGGAGGGAAACAGAGTTTGTAGAAGTAGCAGAGTCAAAAATCTGTTTGGGAGAATAAGGCACAATTTGAGACAGAGAGGAGAGAATTTTAAACAAGCATGGTTGTTAAAACCCCATGCAAAGATGAATCCGAGATCGGAAGCAAGAGAACCGCTGATGACATTGCGATCATGATCGACAGTGGTAGTGGCCCGACGGGTTGTGGAGTACCAAAGGGAACAATATTCACAAAATCGAATAATAAAACAAGCTACTTATCAGTAGTCGACAGCTCATAGTGAAAAATTATAATGCATTAGGGTGAACGACACATGATATCTCATCTCTGCTAAATAATTCTTATTGGATCCTTGTGTGGCTCCTGATATCAAGACCGATCTTTACGATTATCATAACAAAGTAAGGAATTCTCGAGATCAGTTCATTCCTTCCCTCATCCACTCTACGAAGAAGCAGCGAGAACAGCAAACCTAACGACTCTTTTTATTTCGATGCAGAGAAAAATACTAGATATGTAAAAAAAGAAAGCATACTATGTGTTATACCTTACCACATGTTTCGATACATGCATTACATCTCAGTATGCATACTTTTATTTGTATTAAGCGCAACGATTTGTAGGCATGGTGTTTATTGATCCCTCTGTACTTTCATCGTAATCTGCTCCTCCAATTGCACGGAAAAAGAGTTGGGGATATTTCTGTCTATGCTGATTTTTAATTCGTTTCTGTTACATAGGTCATTGTGGATGTGGAAGCCAAACATCGACCTCGGGTACCCCTGAGCATCAGACGTATTCCGGTCCTGGTAACGATCGCACTCAGCGCTGATGCCAAAGTGATCTTACAGGACCCGACCGCACGTGAAGATTCCATACTCACAGGTGGCCGTATCCTGATTGGTATGACTGGATTCTCCGAAGTTTGCTGTCTGTACACTACTGGCTTATCCTGTCCGATACGGTCCACCAGTTTGGCACGGTAGGTTTTCCCTCAGGATGGGGAGAGTGGGTTACTTTGAGTCAGATGTGGTTCACATGATTTCGGCGGAGCATTTCTTGCCACAACCCATTAAAAGCAGCAGGTTTGGTGTTTGGAACATGTCTGGAATGTGTCTAGAAATCGCCTGTTGTACCGTAGCCGGTTTACACTCCAAGTTAGAGAAAGCCACATCTGTGGTAATCAGCACCATCTGAATATAGCATGTGTTTGCTAAGATCAAACAGCTTCGATGTTTCTTGTCTTCCATACTACGACACAAAATATCTTTTAACTGATTAGCTTGGGAACTGAGAGACACGAAAACTATTTTCCAAACAGGTCTGAGCGTTTACTACAGAGGGGCGTGTGTGTGTGTGTTTTCACTGTGCACTCGGTGACAACCAGCTCGATTCGCCGCACCGGTCGGTGTTTCTGAAATTCCTCTGTTTAATACGATTAATGTGTTTCACTCATCGTCAGCTACTCACGCACAGCTTTGCGACACCGGTAATGCAAGTTTCATTAACTAATTGATAGCCACCTACAAACAGCGACGTTTTTTGATGTATCTCTTTCAGTCTTTTTTTCTGATATCCTGTACTCATTTGTTGTCATATTTGCTACCTATCTACGTTGGTATCCAAGTACATCGGCAAGTCTCGGACCGTTCCCCACCGCAAAATCAGATTCTCAAACGGTCCTAGTCGAATTCTCCGGTTTACTGCTTCAGACAACCGGTAGATAATAGTTACAAATCACTAACGAATAATTTCGCAGTGTATCTTGAACCCAGCTCCGATGCACGGGCGCACACGCATACAGTTTCCCCCTGATAATTCCACACGCGTGTGCATTTATGTATGTGTGCAATGACTGCGACGCAGTCAAGTGTAAGCTATTCTGGGTACAGCCAAGTGAACGCGGGTCACAAAACAGTTCCCTGGTTCCCATAGCGTCGAGGTTGAAGTTTACAGCAGTTCATTTTGCCATCGAGTGTTGTTGCAGTGCAAATAAACACATCATGTGGTTGCCCCTATGGCCAGCTTTCACCACCCTTCGCTGTCTCCAGTGGAGTTCGACAAGGCTGCCTTATATCACCTTTCCTTTTCAACTTCGCCATAGAGGATGTTCTGCAGGACGCTTTGTCCGGTTTAGTAAACGGGAGAGTCGAACTCCTCCCAGGGAACAGAGTTCTTGGCTTAGAATTTGCCGACGACATCGCCTTGTTCGGTGACAATGCACAGACAGTCCATCAAGCCTTACCCCACTTGGCGATAGAGGTATCCAGGTATGGTATGTGCTTTGCACCGTCAAAGTGCAAAGTCCAAGGCTAGCAGGAGCCTGTGCTCACACTCACCCTCTATGGTGATCAGCTGGAAATGGTCGAGAGCTTTAAGTACCCCGGGAGCTTAATCACAGCTGGAGATGGAGTTGGAGAAGAGATCACATCACGAATAGCGAAAGCTAGAACAGCTTTCGTCAACCTGCGATACCTGTGGCACCGCCACGACATCCGACTGTCCCTTAAAAGAAGGGTGTACATCGCCGCGGTTCTTAGCGTTCTAATTTACGGTCTCTAGACCTGGCCTCCGCTTTGAGAATGCTAATCGACTCTGTATTTGACCACCGATGTCTCCGAAGCATTGCTTGTGTCTGGTGGGAACACCGGGTGAGTAATGACGAAGTTCCACGTCGTTGTGCTGGGTGCGGATATTCGCTGTCTAACAGAAGTAATCGCTCTACACCGCCTCCGGTGGCTTGGTCACGTATTGCATATGCCTACCTTTCCGTGCTCTCTTCGCACGTGCCGAGCAACGCTGAAAGAAGCGCCGCGGCGGTCAGACCAGGACATGGTGCAGAGGCATGAAGAGGCCAAAGGGATGAGGATTACCCATGACTAGAGGCGCTGAGCGATATGGCTCACAATAGATGTCATCGGCGCGATTTCTGTGCGGTTTGTTTGGCGAAACCCCGTTCCCCATAACACAAAAAATCTTCAAAAAGTGTACGGTGAAACTATCAAAAAATCATTCATTCGTTCTCCGTGTTCTCTCTATTCCCCATTTTCATTTAACCTTCCTGTACCCCTCCGTACCTTCATTTTCATTGTTTTGCATTGGCACCATACTTATTCTCAAGCCGGTGTAGTATATATATATATATATGCATGCCCCTTCTGGAGTACCCACGACCAGGTACGGGTTACTCGTTTAATCACATTGTCGAATAGGCCGAGCGGGTTGATTGGAACGCAAAATGGACAGAGCAAATAGGCTTGGGTTGATTAAACTGACACATTGCCCGCAACGAGTACTGGATGGGTCCTTATAGTCCGCGCTGATTGGATAATTATCATAATAACGAGAATGCCACTGATACTGGACTCTGTAAAAAGAACCTGTGGTGTCGTCGGTCACGATCACCCACAAGGTAACACACACACACAGCAAAGATCACACGCACAAAGACACAATAGCACAGGAGTGGCGTGAGAAACAGTGTGCCCAAAAAGCGAATACATGGAGCACAGCACAAACAGTGGTAGTGGCACTCACTACTGACATTAGACGAGAACACAAATTGGACACTCACAAACGACGTGCCCGATTGTAATGCGAACGTACTCCGGGCTCTCGCAGGGCGACGGAGTGAACAGAGCTGTGCGACAGGATATCCCTCGGCTCGTATTCTCGCAGCTAGGGACAAAACGAGGCTTTGCGGACGACGAACGACAGCGGGGAGCTGAGGTCGTGACTATCTCGAATTGAACCACCTGTATGTTACTGTCTAAAACAAACTTCTGAGCATTGAAAGATACATTCATATTAGCGCCCAATACTGACACTCAAATGCAAAGAAAGGAATAACAGTAGTCCAACAGCAACAGCAGCAAAACTAAAGCCTTGTCGAAGACTTTGATTGGAAGGACCCATCTTCGCAGGGCGCTATACGGTGGTATTTGGGATCATCTTTTGTAACCGTTTGAGCCAGCGGCGGTGGGTGAACATCAAATTGAGAATGTTTAGGTGGCATTTTTTCAGGATCACCACATCTTTCGAATAGCCGTTTGTGGTGAACTGTTTTTTTCTTAACATTCGTCCTGAACGTAGTTTCGGATAGAATACATACATACATCGGGTATTTGAAAGGACAACTGTTAACTTACTGAGATGCTCACCTTAGCTTACCATCTATCTTTACTCCCATGAACTTCATAGAATTAAAATTAGGATATTCAAGCTACATCGAACGAAAAAACCTCATTTTTACCGGTTTTTGAGTCGACCACTTTGTATCATGGTTGAAAAACCATGATAAATCAATTACAGTGCGTTCTGTAACCATTTGCCTATTCTCACTATTTTTCTCTTGAGAGAGGAGTGGCATCTAGGATAACTAAAATTCGTTCAGTTTCTCCCCACATTACAGAGTTTTATCACCATAACAAATTTGATCACTCCCTGGTGGTTAAGTTGCCGAGACTAACTGGATGAATCTGAGGGTATTTCATGCGATACACTGTGTTTTCAAAAATATGCCACTAATCACCAGGTTCCTCAGAGGTCATGCATTATCTTTGCTGCCTGTGGGCAAGACCTTCTACAACTAGTCCATTATAAGTAGGACAGTTCGGATTTGTAAACAGAATCCAGTAGAGAATTGGAAGATTTGACTATAAAATAAATCCACATTTTTCAATAGTCCGCAGGTTTTAGTATCAGTTTTTGCAACCATTAACCACACATTTTGTTGCGGTGATTTTGGCTACTGTCTCTTGGCTGCTTATTTGGATGAACGAGTAAAGTGAAAATTGGAGCATTCAAATCATTATCCGGGGTTTGCTATTCGATGAAAATGTTGCTATTTATTGCTTTTTTATTTTAGAGCTAGTGTGTAGCTGTTTGTTGAACGTATCTTTCAATGCTCAGAAGTTTGCATTAGGAACAAAACGACTGATTAAATTCGAGTCAACCACGGCCTCAGTGGAATTTTATGCACAAAATCAATCACGGGCATTGACCAAACCAGTCTATCCACCGGGCCATGTTCGCGTGTACGTCTCCTGATCGTGGTTAGTGCTCTATCGATCTATCTAATCACAACTCACATTTCCTTCCCGACCATGCGATCGAGGTCTGTGGCCCTGATGTTTGTTCATTCTAGCACAAGACGAGATCGNGAGATCGATCAATCAACCGTGAAAGGTCGAATGATCCTAGCTAAAACAGTCCAAACACACTCACTGCGGTGATGTTTGTTCACATCGGACTGTACTCGTTCTATACTAAGTTGCAATGTTGCAATTAAGTCAAAAGCAGGTCTATTCGCTCTGTTTACTTTGGGGCTTCAATCATCCGGCTCAACTCATTCCACAGTTTGGTTGCACGATTAATGGGATGACCTATACTTCTGTGTCAGTTGAATTCAATCTGCATTTATCATTGGCATTTGACTCAGCGAATACAATTGAATGAGTTAGCGGTAATGATCATTTCCGAATGAATTTTTCACCATATTTTTCCCGCATCCGTTTTTCACTTTCACCTCTTCCCACTCGCTCACCGACCTCTTTACCTGTACAGCTGCGTACGAATGGCCAATTCACGAGCTCAGAGCCTAGTTGCCTTGGTTCAACGGGTCCTGGATGGTCTGAAACGACAACGTGAAGCCATATTGGCTGCTAGTCATGCACGTGCAAGCGAGGTGGAACGTGCGTTGGAATCGTCACGAAAAGCGCCCCTTATGCTGTCCAGTATTTCTTTCCTCCCGGAAGAGGTCAACGCGCCGCAGACCAAAGACATGCTTGACTACGAGGAGGGTGAAGTTATCGGAGAGGATTGGCTAAGTTCCGACGAAGATGACAATATGGACGTGGTTCATAGTTCCGATGAGGGCGAGTCTGGTGCTGGTGGACGAACGGAACCATCTGTAAAGAAACCGGCGACACATCTTGACCTCTATGGTGTAATTGAAGTCTCCTCACGATTGGCCCCGGACAACCAGGTTCCTAATGCACAACAACAGGATTGGGACGAGCTGAGTGACACATTCAAACTACCGGGATTGACCGGCCCGGAAATGGTTTTCTCCGGACATCCGTTGGGACCGACTGACTTCGGACACGGTCCGTCCGACACACGTTCCACTTCCCGGAAGCGAAGAGCAAGGGGAAGAACAACAAGAACAACAACCAAACGTCGAGAACCGAAGCGGGCCATCGCCGAGGAAGAAGAAGAACAGACAACTGTTGTCAAACTAGATTAACCACTCTATTTATTGGTTGATTTGCCGGATATTGTTGTACAGTGGTTATTTCTTGCCAAAACAGTTTTTGTACGCATCCCGGATCGTTTTTATTGTTCGGAGTTTTGATCCGATACTATGCACGCATCGGTCGATTCGGTCCTCCGCCTCCCTCGGAAAAAAATCAATTCTAAATTTCGTTTTAAATCGCAATCCTAAATGCTTCACGAATCGCATTTCAATCTACTCCCAATGCGTATTACATGGTGAGCAAAGGCGGTGATCTTGTAAAACAGTTCCGGTCAGTGTTGAAAGGCTATGACCTCATCCAGGTACCTTTTGGTGGCTCGAGGTCATAGCACTTTAATGCTTATTCCTTCTAGGTAACTC